TGGAGCTGCACTGTTATCAGTTCCATAGCGTTCTTCACAATCTTTAGCTTACCATGTCTGTCACCTCTGATGCTGGCAGCATGGTTTGTAGAGCTACTGGTAGACAGTCCCGCCTAGATAAGTCTAGATATTAGAAAGAGCTTGGTATCGTGATTCTCATCATGTGTTCTTTGTGCTTCATTTATATACGTCCTCGACTCATCCGCCTCTTCCAGCGGTTCTATCGTCTGACTCTACGTCGCAGTGTGCCAGGTAATCGTACTCACCTCCTCCTTGCTTGAAAAGTCTACAGGATTATGCGTGGTGCCAAAAATCATTTTTGCATAAACTCCCTGCGCCCTCCTAAGGGCGTTGACTTTCAGCTAGTCTCCGACAATCCAATACTAGCTAACGTCCCTCCCTACGTCGCGAGAAACCCTGTGGGCCGAGATGCCTTCAATACTTTCAATCATAACAAATTGTCCTGTGGTATGGGACCTTGCAAGCTCTCGGGATAGAGGCTTCACACCCTATACTACATTTCTACTTAATCTTGAGCGTTGTGATTATCTACGTGGCTTGATATCTAAAAATACAGCAAACCGCTTGATTAAAGTCTTGCACCCGTCGACCGATTTATCATGCTTCAAGCTTTGCACTTCGTTGGAAAATCTACCATGTCGTAGCCAAATAGATAAAGGCCATATCCCGAGCTTTTTAAGCAGACAACAGCGTCTTGTGTCGTGATACAGCAGCTTTTAGACTTAGCATCGAGCAGCGCCAAGAAATCGTCAGCACTGGTCATGTACTAAAAGCCGAAAGAGTGCTAGATGTGGCTGAAGTCTTGCTTGCCCAAAACGTCTGTACCTTCAGTAGCCCGTAAAACCCGAGCGCCTGATGAGGCCTGACTTTACTCTAGCGAGCCCTGCCCCATAAATTTGCACCGTCCTTCCTTGTCTACTAGCTTGGCTAAAGGGTGACTCGCTTGCGACACCTCGAAGGCCCGCATAGCCCTGTCATCTAGGCCAATGGGCTACGCTGTCCCTGCGCGTCGACAAACGACAGCAAAGCCGTCATGTAAATCCACGTGATCGACGCAACTGCAGCCTTGTGCACTTGATGCAGCGGACGCTACTTCATCGAAACATAATCCCAGCATTCGTTTCACTCTGCTTGTAATACACGATGGTTACATCCATGCAAGAACACTAATTTACCCCGAGACTACAAGACCCAGCGAACGTGCGCCTAGTCCAACGAACCCGCCGAACTTAGTGTGCCCCTTACAATGCACCTGCTAACGCACAATCCACACGGCAACCTCATCGTCCAGACCTTTACGAACGAACCCTTGCCTCCATACGCGATACTTTCACATACATGGCATGAAGATAATAGTCAAGAGGTCAGCTTTGACGATCTACAGACGGGCCGGGTGCAGCAAAAGCATGGCTATGGCAAGATACGATTTTGCGAGCGGCAGGCTGTTGCGGATGGATTGCGGCACTTCTGGATCGACACCTGCTGCATCAACAAGTCGGACAAAGCGGAAGAGTCTCAGGCCATCCAGTCTATGTTCCGCTGGTATCGCAATGCAGCTCGATGCTACGTCCACTTGTCAGACGTATCGGTGAAGCCAAAGAGAGATCAAGATGTGATCTCATGGGAGACAGCCTTCCGTAAAAGCCGGTGGTTCACCCGTGGCTGGACACTGCAAGAACTTCTTGCGCCCAGCAAAGTAGAGTTCTTCTCAGAAGAAGAACACAAGCTAGGCGACAAGGAGACGCTCAAGGAACAGATTCGCAGAGCTACAGGCATCCCAAGTGCGGCGCTCGAAGGTGTTCCTCTTTCTGAGTTTACCGTCGAGGATCGGTTCCGCTGGAAAGGAGATCGCGAGACGACACGAGAAGAAGACGGGGCATACTCGCTGCAAGGAATTTTTGATGTTAACCTAGCGCCTCTTTACGGCGAAGGCGCTGTGGGAGCATTTGAGCGTCTCAAGCGTGCAATCAGTCAGCTAGCACAGTGTATTTCAGACCTCCGTGGCACGAATCCGCGCGACGACAAGAAACGCATTCAGGATACAAAGGGCGGACTACTCGAAGATGCTTATCGCTGGATCCTCTCCAACGAGACTTTCCGGCGCTGGCATAGCGATCTGCAGAGTCCACTACTATGGATAAAGGGTGACCCTGGCAAGGGAAAGACAATGCTACTATGTGGCATTATCAACGAGCTTGAAAAACCCGCAGCTTACACCGTCAACATAAGCTACTTCTTCTTCCAAGCAACCGACTCGCGCATCAACAACGCCGTAGCCGCACTCCGAGGGCTTCTATACTTACTTGTGATACAGCAGCCGTCGCTTATCTCTCACGTACGCAAGCATCATGATCAAGGTGGAAAGACCGTGTTCGAGGATGCAAATGCTTGGATTGCCCTGACAGAGATCTTCACAGACATCCTACAGAGTCCCGATCTGGAGCCGACATTTCTAGTTGTTGATGCACTGGATGAGTGCGCGACCAATCTCCCAAAACTCTTGGATTTTCTTGTGAAAAGTTCATCTGCGCATTCCAAAGCCAAGTGGATTATATCTAGCCGCAACCGGTTTCTTATAGAGGAGCGACTGGAGCAGGCAGGGCGTAAAGCTCGGCTTAGTCTTGAGCTCAACGCTGATTCAGTGTCAACGGCCGTGCGGGCGTTCATTGGGTACAAAGTAGATCAGCTCACCGGGCAGAAACGATATGACGATCGAACTCGGCAGGCTGTGCTAGCACACCTGGAGTTAAATGCAAACGACACCTTCCTCTGGGTAGCGCTAGTGTGCCTAGACCTCGCAGGAACATCGAAACGACATGTGCGGAGGAAGCTTGAATCTATTCCGGCCGGACTTGATTCTCTATACGAGCGAATGATGCGGCAGGTCAGTGAATCCGACGACGCTGAAGTTTGCAAGCAGATTCTAGGAGTGTCTTCACTGGCGTATCGTCCGCTTAAACTAGCCGAGCTCGGGGCTCTTAGGGAGCCGCTGGATGGCCTCGTCGAAGATGCAGAGTCGTTAAGCGAGCTTGTCAGCCTCTGTGGCTCGTTTCTCACGCTACGAGACCGTACCATCTACTTTGTGCATCAGTCCGCCAAGGATTTTCTCCTCGCCAAGGCCGCTAATAAGGTATTCCCTTCTGGCACAGGAGTCGCTCACCACGGCGTCTTTACAAGGTCACTTGAGATCCTGTCTAGGACTCTTCGTCGCGATATATATAAACTGAAAGCGTTCGGGTGTCTAGTTGGGGAGGCTCAACAACCAGATCCTGATCCACTAGCAGCTGCACGCTACTCCTGCGTTTACTGGATTGACCATCTGCGTGACTCGAACCTGCTTTCTTCTATGAGTCATGAGGCTCTTCAACATGGTGGCATTGTTGATATCTTCTTCCGAAGCAAGTTCTTATACTGGCTGGAGGCTCTGAGCTTGTGTGCAAGCATACCAAAAGGTGTGGTCTCGATGACTAATTTGCATCTTCTAATACAGGTACCGAATTTGGAAACAATCATTAAGACATATCACGCTAACAGAACCAGAACAAGCATGAGCCAACATCATTTACCGAGTTCCTATATGATGCACACCGATTCTTTCTGTATCACAAAAGTGCAATTGAAACCAGCCCACTCCAGGCTTATGTTTCTGCATTACTGTTCAGTCCATTAAATAGCAAAGTCCGGAGGCAGTTCCAGCATGAAGAGCCCGACTGGATCACCGTTAAGCCAGTAATAAGCAGTAGCTGGAGCGCGTGTATGCAGACGCTCGAGGGCCATAGCGGTTATGTCAAGTCCGTGGTGTTCTCGCACGACTCGACGCGGCTGGCATCAGCGTCATTCGACAACACGGTCAAGATCTGGGATGCGAGCAGCGGAGCGTGTGTGCAGACGCTCACCGTCGGAACATGCATTCAGAACCTCTCATTCGACTCTACCGGCTCGCATCTGTATACTGATATTGGCAAGATTGCTATCATCTCTCCACCAAATTCCCAACCAATTACTATTACAGATCCCCAACACCCTGATTTCTGCGATATAGGTGTTGAACCAGGAGGAATATGGATCACTTGCAGTGGGAAAAATGTTCTTTGGGTCCCATCAGAGTATCGAAGATGGTGTTCATTAGTGCATGGAAACAGGGTTGGCATTGGTACTGGATCCGGAAAGGTGTGGTTCTGCAATCTGACCGCTAAGGCTGACAAGTCCATATAGAAACTAAAATCAAGTCACATGGAATTAAATAGACATAAAATTAATCATAAGGAATATTCATTCGATTCTAAGAATTAAGCTTCGCTCGAGCTTTACTGTGGATCAATTTGGTTATGTGTAAACACGTCAAGGGCTTCTTGCCACATTGGGTTTCTCGCCACGCAGGGAAGGACTCCTGGCAGACAGGCGATGGGCTAAGGCCATAGATTGCGAGCTGTGTATCGCATAAAGCTGCAAATATCCCCTCACGTGCAAATAGCACATGGTGGTGTGTACTGTGGACCACTGACTTCGAGTGTCCCTAGACAGGTTAAGCTTGTACGGGGTCGATATGGCCGCTTTCTTGTGTTCCCTAGATAAGGACAAGCGACCGCTGGTGCTCCGTAGTGGGGCGGTACAGATCTTTGGGGTAGGGGCCGCTAGGGTCAAGTCAGGCCTTGTGAGGCGCTCGGGTTTTAAAAGATGCTTAAGCTATAGCTAGCACGTCTTGGTCAACCAGACTTCAGCCACATCTAGCACTCTTCTGGCTTTTGATACATGGCCATTGTCGACGAGTTCTTGGCGCTGCTGGACACTGAGTCCAAAAGCTGCTGTATCTCGACACAAGACGCTATTGTCTGCTTAAAAACCTCGGGATACGGCCTCCATCTATTCAGCTACGACATGGTATATTTTTAAACGGAGTGCAGAGCTTAAAGCGTGATAAATCGATCGAATGGTGCAGCACTTGAATCAAGCGGTTTATTGTATTTTTATATATCAAGCCACACAGACAATCGGAACGCTCAAGATTGAGTGGAAGTGCAGTACAAGATATGGAGTCCATATCCCGAGAGATTGAAAGTTCTCAGACCCCAGAACAATTTGTTGTGATTGAAAGTGTTGAAGGCATCTCGGCACGCAGGGTTTCTCGCGACATAGGGAGGGACGTTAGTGCCCCAGAGATGGCCGTTGTGCATCAATGATACTAGTGTACTGCCGGTGAGTCTTTCAGTCACTTTTCTGCCTCGAGTGAAGCGTAGCATATTCTACATTACGAAAAATTCAGATCAGATATGTCCGTTTGATATAGCTAGCGCTTCAGTCCACCCATAGCTTTTCTGAACGTTTCTAGGCCTTTCTCCAACATATTTTTCCTAGACTCCAGACGAAGGCGCTGTTGCATGATCTCAGGAGGCTCAGCAGCGACGAACTCGATTTCTTTCTCCGTCATTTGTGTCACTACTAGAGGCGAAAGAATGTTTTCAGGGAGGGGTTCGACCAAGTGGCGCTCAATGACAGCCTTAGTGACGGCGTTGACGAAGTACTTCATCTCATCTTTGTAGAACGCACGCTCAATATCAAGAGCTTCCTGGCTTGAGAAGACGTCCATATCCAGCTCGATCGCTTTATTCATGGCCTCTGAGAGCTTTCCAGGGTCAATATGCGTACTTATGTCGTTGTAGCGATCATACGTGCTGACTTGTGAGGCTTCTGAGGCTTTCTTCGTGATTTTCTCGTGTTTGCGTTGACGCATCTTCTGTACCGTGGTAGTGAAGTAGTGGTTATAAGTAGTTGGATGGCGAGTTTTGTCCTTTAGGACCTTGTGCAGTTCTTCTTCCGCGCCGGTAAGAGCTTTGCTTAATGCACCATCCACATACAGAGTTGTAAGCCGGCCCTTGAACTCAGATGGAGCGGCATCCCGGAGAACCACATCGATGAACTCCTTACAAGCAGTCGCAACCGTGTTAATATGCTGAGAAGCAATCTGCTCCCATGGCTGGGACTGCTCCCAGAAAAGCTGTGATATCAGCATTGGCTGGAATGTGCCAGGAAGCTCGTAGCCACGGGAGCGCTCCAAAGTCTTCTTGACCCAGTCGATGGCTTCTTGACGTGTAAGCTTCGTGGGCTTGGGAAGAGACATGAGCTCCCGGTGTTCATCGAGATTACCAAGCTCTTCCTGCGCTTTTATATCCTCTTTGATTTCTCCCTCTCCGTCACCAGGTCCGGCTCCGAATGCGTATTTATGACCCCTCAAGCGCATATCGTTGGCGAAGGTGATGTTGAGGTGTTGGATCACAGCTCGAAAGCGGCGGATATTCTCGGATGCATCAACAGCAGCGTCCTTGTTGATTGGTCCGAAAAACGACGACTCGTAATAGCCCTTGGTAGCAGAATTCAAGATGTCGCTGATGCGCATGCTGATCTTCATCAGAACCATGCGCTGCTCATGAGTGGTGTTGCGCTTGTCGCCTAGCTTCACAAGCTCTGCAATTGTACCCTGAAGCTTGTGAACTATTTCGTCCTTCAAAGAAGGAAGCTCCTTGATCAAATGATTGAGTAGCACTTTACTGAGACGCTCGCGCAAGGAGTTAATGCCAACGCACTCACGGGGTAGGTCCGCGTAGCGGCCCTTGTTAAAGAACATGTCCTCGTCTGCGTTGCGTTGCTCAAAGGAGAACTTCATCTGATTATCACCACGATTCTTAAGCATGTGCCAACCGCGCTCCAAGTAAATATCCTTGTTCTGGACCAACTCGATCCAGGTCAGTTCATTATCAGTGCCTTCACGGAGGAAGTCAGGCTTGGTGACGATGCCAAGGGTACGACGACCCTGGTCGTCGATCTTGCGGCAATGGTCCAGAATAATTTGATTAGCGTAATCGTTCTTTGCGCTCACCACTGCCAAAATGATGGTACGCGGGTTTTTCATGTACTCCTTAACCAGGTTCAGGATCAGCTCTTTATCGATCTCTGTCTGTGCTTTGTTGGTTGCATGGATGAGACCCGGAAGGTCCACGAGAGTACTAGCCATTCATTAGTACGCCTTTAGCATATCGGATGAATGACATACAGTTGAGGCCTGGCTGGACCAGTGATCTCGACCGACAGCACATCACGAGAGAATGCCCTTGAATTGATCCCACCTACAACCCCTAGGCCCATCGCTAGTGTCGCCTCTTCGATCACATCTGGAAGCTGACTGAAGTCGTTCATGGACTTGCTGAACGATTTGAGCTTGGCTTGCTCCGACTTTGGGCGAAGCTTGTCTGGAGTGATCGTGATTGTGCTGGTGGACGATGCAGAACGACGGAGGATGATCTAGAAGTCGTTAGCATAATACCTGGGGCATTTGAGATTTACTCACTTCAGTCGCAAATCTCGTACACAGGTTTTCCTTACGAGGAAACGGAATCTCGGTGATAGCCTCAAGTACAGAGCTTTTACCGGATGACTGGTCACCGCAGACTACAAGCTGGGGTAGTTCCACAATACCACTGAGACCTGTACGTCGCAGCTTGTCTACGATATCCATAACTTTCCGCTGATCTGCAGACTGTAAAGCGTGCAGTGAGCTTGTAGTGACAGAGTCCGGGTCGATAGGCACTGTCGATGTGGTTGACATCTCGACGCCTTCAAAATCGGAGTCGCTAGACGTGCCACTTGCCATATTTGTGAACAAACTCTTTTTGTAGGCGAAGCAGATAACACTGTCGAGTTGAAGTGGTACGGAAGAGATAGTTGGACGAGCAACAGAGTGACTTAGAGATGGATCCAAAGAGGCTGCCGCAGTGAGTGCGAGGGAAATAGACAGCAAGGCGATTGCTGCGGAATTACATCTTCGCTTTTTGCGATGTACCAAGGATCTATTGACATCTTGCGTTACACTGCTTATCCCACGAGTTGTCTTAAAAAAACAAAGGAAAACAGTCAGCAGCCCTGTCCCAACAACTGAGTAGAACTTTTTGAAAACGTGGCCATTTTAGTGGACACATCCCCCCTTCTTCCCCCTATACCTGCTTTGCAGTTCTCGCATTTCTCTGGATCTACGTATCTGCTGGCTTGCATAACATGCATGACCACAGTTCAGCGCCTCAAACGCTTTACATCCCTGTAGCGGACTGGATCATGCATTGCGGGATGAAAAAGCTGCTTTCTATCTGCGAGCGAGACCAAGCCAGCCATCGGGATAAGACAGTCATCGGTGATCTGGGCTTGGTTCTCCACATGTTGGCACACCGTAGTAGACTTTCTCGCTTCTGGTGCTTCCGTGGCTGCTAGATACTACTGCTAGAAATCGCAACGCGGTTCTGATTGGCAATGGCACAAAACAAACGGGGCCTCTAGACCTCCAGGAATCATCTTCGCAACGGTCTCTGAGCCTGCATGTAAAGCGCGGCGTCCAGCCTCTAGATCATACTTCGATTCGTTTAGCGATGTTATCTTTCCTGATCTAGGAAGACCACTGAGTCCGGTTACTTCGACTGCGTTCTTGTTGCCAGACACTAGTTCCCGGCATATAGTATCTTCTGCAGCACCGACTGTTATTGTCGCTCGTGTAGGTTGGGACATTATGTCTAAAGGCATTTCAACAGGAAGGGGGGCGAAAACGCAAAAACAAACTTTTGTGAGAAGTTCATGCATTCAGTATCATTAGCCCATAGGTTTGGCTTACACGCCACTCCGACAGTTGTTCACCGGAATCGAGGAATTCAAACACCTGTATATGCGCGGAATGCGAAGAGAAGCACTGCACTGCAAATCATGCTGCAGCTCCCTCTGTTCCTTTCTACAGAAGAAGTGGCTAGACGCTTCGTTACTTGCGACAGTTTCTCTCGACTGCCGCTGAGGTTGGAATGGTGCCGCATAGCAGCGTTCTCGACGCTCCTCCGGATGCTGATCACGATACCAAGATGGAGGTGATTGTCTAGGAAGACCCGACATCTTATACCATTAACGCAGAAGCATGGTGGTGGCATGCCAACAGGAAGAGACGTGGAACGTTCACTTGGTCTAGACCGTTGCAATCGGAAAGTGCGACCACTGGCTCCCTCACGACGTTCTGCAAGACTTTGCCATGATATACGCAGCTTTGACGCTAGTCTACTCCAGCGGACTTACAACTTTCAGAGTCTGCAAGTCTCCGCGTTAGGTTGCCGAGACTCACCGCCTACCGTGTTGTAAAACTACACACACACAGGTACCGATCACAGAGCAATTTAGTAGAGTACCCTAAAGACCCATGCGACAGAGCCTCTCACTAATGCTCTCTTGATCGGAGGATTATCCGGCTGTGAGTGTTGATTTGGCGTGGCGGTGTTGGGGTACGCTTCATGCGCGACGCACTACCCGTATCTCTCGTACTACGTTTCTGCTTCTTCCTTGGTACTGCTTTTTGTAAAGCCTCACGCTTGCCTGTAGAGGACTTTTGTATAGCTGTCTCATGATCGCGAGTTTGCCTTTGGCCCTCTCCCTCAGTCATGTAGCGGCGAAACAGGGATGATTCATGCCATGCTGCCATCTCGGTTGGTATTCTCCAAAGCGATCTGAGTGGGATCAGTTGTAAACGCCGTTTATACGTCTGCCTTGAGCACAATGGTTACAACATACACAATACAGCCACTGATAGGCTTCCTGGCCAGCCCATCGTACTCGGAGAAAGTCTGCAACCTCATGTATCAGCGTGACAAGGGCTGCACAAAGGGATTGGTGGATTCGAGGAGTCTGGTAGTCAACACTGATGCAAAGGAGAAGATGAATCCATGTCACGGCTTGCAGCTGGGCGGATACACCAGCCAATGCGTTGCGAGGCGAGCGGCTGTACTGTACCACCATCGCCATCCGCTGTGATGCGCGGTAAGACCCTGGGCCAGCTCCACCGTCCTCTCTGATCGAGCACTGCCGCACTATGCCGCACTAAGGGCGCTGTTGCTTCGATACGCAGTCTGCACGGTCCAGTGCCTATCAATTGTCGCCATCGCCGCAGAAAAGTCCTAACAGCCACGCGGAGGTTGGACTAAGCCTGTTGGTAGGTAAGCGGTTTTTGGCGAAAGACTCGTATGACTCTTGAGGCTGCAGCAATGATCGGTGAGAGAAGCCTAGGCGGTCTCCACTTCAATCAGGAGACCAGTCGGTGCACCATTATTGCAGACATGTGGCTGATTATCGGTGTACAAGAAGGGACCGTCTGCTGATACAGCATGGGCAACAACAGTTTGGAGATCATTAGAGCTTGTTGAAGCAAACTAACCGTAGTCAATTGCCTAGTTGACAGTGGTCCCTCGCTCATACAAATGCAAATGCATACGGTCATTTTTTTGTCTACTAGTGGTAAGGCTGAGGCCCTGTTAAAAGCTCTGTTCATTCTGGTGGAGGCTTGCATTCCAGTTACTATTGCAATTTCTGATCGGGTTGTAATTGTGCCGGTATTTTCGCATGAAAATCTGCATGATGAAATCAAATTGACCATCCACTTTCTTCATGGCAGCTTCCGCATCTGCAACGGCGGCTTCGTGTATTACATCTCCTAAAGCACATGTCCTTTCCATAATGCGCTCGAGGAAGTCGCCGCAGTCAACAAAGTCCGGGTCGCGCGAGAAAGGGACTGTGGAGAAGGGCGCGGGGCGGGTCGGACGCTTTCGTATCTAGTCGCGGGTGCGAGTCGGGTCTAGCGTACGTGGGGCAGGGTAATGATAGACATCGTGCTACTTCTGCCTCAGACCGCAGTCCCCACCCACCTGTCGTCTTACAGAAGGCCACAGCCAGACGAGGCTGAGCAGCAGCAGCAGCAGCAGCAGTCCACCACCAATGTTGCGCAGACTACCTCAGCGGCACTGCTTTACTTCCATCTCTTGACATCAATACTCACCACCTCAATATGCGAAAGTTTGGTAGCGTGTTTCGCCCAAAGAAGACTGCGACGGTCCTGCCCACGCCAGATCCATCAGACCCACCCTTGCCAGATGGCGAAGCGGGAGCACAACCCTTCGGACTGCGCCGACACGCCGACCCCCTTTTTATTAGTCAAGGGCAGCCCTTGACTAATAACGGCGCAGTTGTGAAGCAGTTCTTCAACGATCGGAACGCATCTCGCGCTTCCGGCGTCAACCGTATCTCGACCGACTCAGCTTTGCGCTGCGCTCGCCCACCTATGGGGATATTACCGCCATTTTCAGTGAGTTTGTTGAGCGGCGCCGCAATGCGTGAGAAACCTGCAATGAATTTGCGGTAATAGTTCACGAAACGTATGAACGTCCTGATTTGAGGTACAGTAGTAGGCTCTGGCCATTCCATGATGGTCTTTACGCGCTCTGGCTCCATTTTTAGGCCGCCATGAGTCACAATGAAGCCGAGAAACCCAACTTCTTGTTGGTGAAACTCGTATTTGGACAACTTTGCGTAGAGCTTATGCTGCCTTAAGCGATTCAGCACCGATTTGACGTGTTCTTCGTGCTCCTCCAGGCTATCGGAGTAAATCAGTATATCATCGAGATAAACTACACAGATCACGTCCAGTAATCCTGCAAGTGCAGTATTGATGTAGCCCTGAAACGCTCCTGGTCCATTTGTTAGCCCAAACGGCACAACAGTGTACTCGAAATGACCATATCTGGTCCGAAATGCGGTTTTCTACTCATCTCCGCGACGAATTCGAAGCCGATGATAAGCATCTCGCAAATCAAGCTTAGTAAAGTACTTCGCCTTCGTTAATTGGTCCAAAGATTCACCAACTAGCGGTAATGGGTGCCGATTCTTCTTGGTCACCGCATTTAATGCCTGATAGTCGACGCAAAGGCGTAGGCTGCCGTCCTTCTTCTTTATGAAAAGAATAGGTGCGCCGGCTGATGACGTACTACGACGTATCCAGCCCCTTCCGAGGAACTCTTCGATGTATTTACGAAGAACTTCGAGTTCTAACCTCGAAAGTGGGTAAAGTGGACTTTAAGGGACGTCTGCTCCCTCTTCGAACTCGATCTTTAGCTCGCGCGGTCCATGATCGGGGAGAAGTGACGCATCTCCTGCCGAAAATACATCCGCATACTGCGAATACGTGTCGGGCAGTGTATCTTTGCTCCGATTAGGGTCACCGTCGTCGTCTTCGTCGACGATCGATAGCGATGCAAGGTAGATTGGCGACGATCGAGTCCGTACAGCGAGGTTCCATGCCTCTTTGCTGATATTTGCGATCTGCTGGTATAATTTACCGCGATGTCGACGGAACGTCAATGTCTCCTTCCAAAAATCGAGGATTGGATTTAGGCGTTTGAGCCAAGGCATTCCTAGAATCATATTCCATTGCCCAATATTAGCGAAGATGAACTGATCATTCATCTGCTGCTTTGTTGTCTTTGAGTCATGAACTTCGCAATTCGTCGTAGTTTGACCCAAAGTTCTGACTTCATGACCATCAACTGCGATGGTTCGGCCAAGTTTGCCGAGGTCATACGCTAATCTGCACTCTTTTGCAAGGATCGACGAAATATAGTTGTCTTCTGTGCCCGTATCCACGAGGGCCTGTACAGTTTTGGTGCCTTTTGCTGTGGGTAACGATACTTTCAGCAGAATGAGGTGTTTACTCGCAGGAAGCCGTTGAGGCTCCTCCTGAGTGTATGTAATCTGGCCAATAACGCGGTCAGGTCTCGCGAAATGGCCTATGCGCTGTGGTCCTGCTGTTTTGCGACAGGCGTGGCATTTGAGCCTGTGCCCTGTCCTTTTCCGCGTTGAGAGTTACCGCCCCGACTGGATCGGTATCCTCTTGACGCATTTTTGCCCCGATTTGCGCTCTTCTGGCGCTGATCGTTGTGAGGTTGCTCATGATCGAACGTATTCGATCGACCTCGCTTCTGACCGGTTTGGGGTTCGTCGACCTTGCCTAAGGATCCGCGTTCCCCGAGGATGCGGTAATGTTCTTTATCTTTCTCCTCTAATTCGTGTAGATGGTTGAAACTTGACAATGCTATTCCCAGTCTTTCTCTGATCGACGGGAGTAGTGCTTCGCGATACTGAAATATGCGTATATTCTCCTGTAACATTGGGATGTTATCCCAGAGGTTCTGTAAGTATTGTAGGAGTTGAGTGGGCGTCTGATTTGGTCGTTGTCCGACGCTTTTCAACTCGGATAAGGCCTTCCTTTCGCGTTCTCCTGTGGTGCCGAGTGTATTCAGCATGAATTTGGCTAGATCGTCCCAGGTTGTCGCAAATAGTGGCTTAACTTCCTTCTGTCTGTCCCATTGATCGCGGGATTGTGAACCTAAGTAGCGTTCTCCGAATGAAATGCGTTGTCCTTCGGTAGAAAAGAGCGTAGGGTTGTCAAGGAAGTACTTTTCGCAGTCTCTCTTCCAATCTTTCCACTCCTTTTGGTTCTTTCTAGCAACATCTAGTAAGTGGTGTTCATACAGATGGATCTTAGCTAATGCATTGAATATTATCAAGAGATGTCTCTTCCGAATCTCCCTCATGAATTACTTCTTTCGATAAGCGATATGCTACATCGGCTTTGTTATATAAATACTTTAGCTCGAACGAACCGACGACTATATTGGCAACTCAACAGCTATCTATACTCCCTCGATGTTAATGAAACTGGAGGGTCGGCATTAGTCTGGGCCGCAGAATCTGGATTAAGGAAAACTGCTTGGCTATCGCTCGCTGAAGGCGCGAATGCAGAAGCAGTCAACAAGATAACAATACCAAGTTTGCTGGAATGCCTAGGTTTCAGGTATACATCGATTTACCTGACACCACTTCAGATTGCTCTGTCCTATGGGTCTGATTCTGTTGCAAGGCTCTTGATTAATCATGGCGCCCTGTCTTCGGCAATTTTTCCCCCTGAAATGTGTAGTTGCACAAACATTCATATGGCGGCTGCTATGGGGCTCACATCCACTTTGAAAACTTTGATTAAGCAAGGTGCAGATGTTGGAGCTCGCGATCGGTGTCTTCGAACACCATTACACTACGTTGCCGCAATACAAAGCCGGAAATTGCTAGAACAAGCATGGGTGGTTATGCTGCTTTTGTCAAACAATGCAGACCCCAAAACGGAAGATGCTCAAGGGAGGAGTCCGATATCCATGGGGAAAAAACGATTCAATCCCGTCGCCAAAATGGTATCAGAGAAAGGCGCTACAATTGAAGCGTACGAGATATCGTTGCGAGATCGAGAGACCTTCGAGGCGTGGCGCATATTGAAGGAAAACCGTGAAGAGACGACGTGGTCCGCAGAGACGAAAGCAAGCCAACCGCTTATACAATACGGGAAAGAGCGAAAGTCTAAGAACAGAAAGAAGAGAATTGCAGCCACAGGGAACCATACAATGCGAGATGAAATAGTGAAAGGAGAATTCCAGAAAGTCACTCAGATACCTGATAAGAACGCAGCTAAACAATTCGAATCTACCACGGTAAAAGCCAAGCAAGATTTGATAGAGGAGAAGGAGCGCTTGGGGAAGCATAGCATTTTAAGAGAGGCTTGGTCTACGATGAGGAGAGAGGCTGATCAGAAGAATCGTGCGGCCCATCAACTCAGTTCGTTGCCAAAGGCAGAATGCGATCATGTGCTGGGCCTATGGAAGTGTTGTGTGCGAAAGTCCTGTCAATTTTGTGGGGTTTCTGCAAAGAGGCTGTCTCTTTGTCCGGATTGTGGATTCGTGGCATGTGTGCGATGTAAATCATCAGAGATGCAGATGTATATGTAGAGCAAAGTTAACGCGAGAGTTTTGGAGTAGCTACACCTGGGTGATTGAAAAAGCGAGTCCTCTAAGGATTTTTAGCCAACTTAGTTAGTACTGAAGCTCCGGTCGTAGTGTTGTATCATATGCTCCATGTCCTATGATTGATAATGATAGGCTGCCGAGCTGGCATCGTAAGTATGTTTGATTCACACTGTAAAGGATCCAGAGAGCTTAAGATATTGCAAAATCTCCTCTACCTATTCCTCAGCACCTTTCAGATCATCATCGACCGACGAAAAGACAGAGAACGGATGTCGATGAGGGTGAGCCCACAGCCGTTCCGATCTACGCACGACCTGCACAAAGCCATGTTCGGCCTCCAAAGGCTGGAGGGACCATAACAGATGCAATCATCCTGCTTGTCCTTGCATTGGGCGCAGTTCTGCAGGAAGATAGACTGATCAGGGGTTCTCTCAACCCTCGCAATAAAATTGCCGAGTCAATCCACTCTCCTTCGACACGAATGCGATATTCACCTGTAACCTCAATAGGTCTTCGGTCGCCTGTCGAAGACAAGGATCCAGGCAGCCCAGCACGTTTAAACAAGGAACTCATGAATCTGGACGTTATTCCTGGTCTACACTACTATGCGTATGCGTCTAATATCCTTGGGAATCTGTACGGTGGTAACGAAGTTTACCATGCCCAGGCGTTTCTACTAGCGAGCCTCTACATGAACCAACTTGGTCGTGGCTTAGAGAGCTATAGCTGGATTAATGCTGCAGCCCGGGTTATTAGGTTCAACCTTAGAATGTATCTTACTTCCTAGCTATATGAATCATGCAGAACGCTGACTCGCTGTAGAAATCACGTATATGTGAAGCCTGACCCTACGGACCCTTCTAAATATAATCGCCAGCAGCATCCCGATAATCTACCTCCTGGTGAGGTAGCCAAGTTTAAAATCAAGATGAATCTCCTCAAGTTCGTATATTGGTCAGCAGTACAGCTTGAAAGGTTAGTCTAAAACGATGAGGCACCATTAAATAGTAAAACTGAACTATAGCAGTGATATCCTTGCATATTTGCCACTACCAACAAGTCATATAACACTTTGGGAAGATCGAGTTGCCTATCCGAAAGATCAACCAGTGTCTGGCGAAACGGGACAAGTCGATAACCAGCGTGACATTATCATAGTGTTGTTTTTGGCACAGATACAGTTCCGTAAGATACTCAACCAGGTCCCTATGCATCTATCCACCTTATGGGACCATCCACCAGACAGCTTCCCAGCTGGCGTCTACGAGCCTCCATTCGGTAGAGAGGCGTCAACAGGCATACCTTCGTTTCTCAATTGGCTATATAACTGGCGAAACGTGAGTAAAGCGATGGGCGTGGATTGGGATGATTATGACGATCCTTCCCCCGATCCGAATATTGCTAGGCTACGAGCGAAATACTATGGAGCAGAAACAATCATTACTCGACCATACCTACACTACGTATACCATTGCCCAGAAGCCGACCGAGATGTACTTAAACGAGCATGGACTTACATCAGATCTCGAAAGGAGAGCTGGACGGCTTCAAAGCTCCGGGAAGCGGAATGGGGAAACTCACTTGAAGATCTTCTTGAGAGTGATCCAACTCAGTCTCGGGATGGCATTAGTACCAAAGCCATCAGGAGCATGCTGCTTAGTCATGCTTGTATGTGGTCCTCGATCCGGAGTACGAAAGCTTTCGACGGTATTCGAACACGTCTAAAGGTAACGAATATTTTTGGCACAATCCATGCGTGAGTATCCTTCATTATTACATAAGATATCAAACACACGATATGAAACACCTAACATGAGACGACAGTCAATTCGGAAATTGCTTGGTTCTTGCACAGTGCTGCGAGTCTGTATGGTTTAAAGACCTTGAAGGGTTTGCCCCGATCCATGAAGTCCCCGAACTCCTTGAAGAAACAATGCACAAATGCAAAACATACTCAAACCTCGCACCAGCTCTTGTCAAAGATTATCAGATTTTACGCCAAGCTTCAGATAGCATCAGAGGATTGAGAGCATCCAGCACGTATTAGATGTACCCTCCAGAAGAGCACACCTGATCATCATAGCTAGTACATTGTTTAAGACTCATATCATGTGGCGTGAAATAGCATCAAAATGGCAGTTTTAAATCTTGTCACTCTCACCGACACGCCTGGAAGTCCGTGACCCGGTGTGGTACCATGATGATCCCATGATCCGCTATGTTTTGCAAGGATATGTAAGCAAGTACCAGGATACTACAACTTAACCACTTTCCGTTAATCCAAGCGTGTTTGTAGCCTCATTTGGCTGAACATTGTGGATGTTGAGGTGCTGTGAGTGCTTGAGCTTTTCAGGCTCTATCATATGTTAGGCTTCTAATCCGCCTTATAGATCTTCAGGCGGGGCGGTGGTGCATAAGTTTCAGGGTTGCTGCACCTTCTGTTAGGTGAACTCGACGCCCTGTCTTGACAATTTTATGTTTTGAGATCGGGATGCAGAGACCATCTGCGGTGTAGAACCTCGCTGTAGTGTGCAACGCTAGACTAGGCGGAATGTACAAGGGTGTCATCTTTTGCGATTGTGCGGTGGGCGAAAAGAGCGTAGGGGAGAAAGAGTTACCGCGAGTATCAGCAATAGAGTATTCATCCCAGTACAAAATATATAGTATTATCACTGGAAGTTTATGGTTCGGCGATATGCTCCAACAGGATATTGAAGCTGAGCAAAAGTGCCCACCTCGCGAGCTCGAAGTCTTGCAGGGATACATCAAATCCAGAAATCTCCGTAGAAATGCTCGAACTGCGATCCTTTGTCTCGACATATATCTGATCAGGAGCGCTTCCATAACGTAAAATCCATCTTGCTGGAAAAGCCCCGGTTGTGGGAAAATCACTACAAGCATTCATCGTATCTGTCTCCTCAGCCAGACCATTGAGCACTTTGTTTGAGCGCGTGAAGGCACGGATTCGAGGGCATCCTGGTAAAGCGTTTCGATGGACTTCAAGAAGGACTTCGGATCCAAGCTCTCCCGCTACGCCGCACACAGACGACGCTTGGATGATAGGCCTCCATGCCTTTCCAGATTACCGGTATACGTTCTCAGTCACTTCTTTACGTCAGTGTTTCAACTGTTGAGGCATCAAGCTGCAGTCTTGTTTTAACAAGCCAGATTGGATTTGTAGCAGTCGCTGTTGCTATCCCAGCGGCAACGGCAGCGTAGGCGTGAACTATGGCCGCGTCTTCTCCGCACCCTAGCATCTGCGCTCTAAGATATTTACAGTTGCCGTATACGTAGAATTTAATTGCAGTTGCAGGGACTACGCCTGCAAGGCTTGGCCCGAGACCTCGATAGAAGCCGCGCCAGCCTTCGGTATGGGAGATGGAGCCAATGATCTGGAAGGTGCCGCGAATGTGGTCCTTCGATGGACCAAGAAAAGTAAGCCTGGACTGGACGGGAGACGCAGGAACGAGAGAAGGGCGGTGGTAATCTGATTGGAGTCGAGTTCGCAGACCATCAAGCGGGGATGTAACAAGCGCTGTGGCTAATCCTCCATTGCTTTAAGCAATCAAGGCTGTTCGTGACTTACGCGCCAGCAAGCAGATGTACCCAAGATCGTACCGGTCTCTGCTCTATCGAGCTACTATTTTTTGTCTTTGGAAGTATTGCTGAAGACTGAGAGCTGTGACGCATCGATTCCTGTGCCATTCTCGTGGTTCATCGACGGCTATGTGCGTGCAATGGAGTGCGAGCTACGACGAAACAAGTCGCGTTGAAACGGATGTACACGCATGCGACAAAGAAGAATGCATTGGAAGACCAATCAAACGAGCAGTGAGAGAAAAATTGAGAGCGTGTTGATGAATATGGAGCTTCTGTAATATCGCAGTGAAAATCTCGAGGAAACACGAATCTAAGCTGCGAGAAAGTCTTGGAGTTTCGGCAGAGCCGAGGAGTCCCCGGGGGCTGAGTCAAACAACCCGAGTCTTGCAACGTCTCCAAAGACTTTCAATTCGGACTGAGTGTAGTCTACAACAAGATAGTTCTTCCACTTCGAAATCAATTCGCGAAATCTGTAGGTTTTGGTCCTTTGGACATCTATGCTTGGACATCTAATGCTTGGACATCTAATGCTTGGACATCTAATGCTTGGACATCTAATGCTTGGACATCTAATGCTCGGCAGTATCTCGACGAAACGGTTCCCTGTCGCGTTGCGGAATTATGCGTCACTTCAGCCAGTGACTTCGGTCGAACTTGCTCGTGAACGCGTTGCTCAGTATTGAGGACAGCCGTTAGCCACACAGTGCGCGACATGCTTGAACATTTCAAGTAATAGATAGTAGAGAGTATAGAAAATCTTCTCTACCCGTCCCATGCACTTCGGAGTTGTAACCTCCGAAGTGCTCCCGACTTGAACTGTACATATGCACTTCAACGGTACTATGCCTAAAGTCCCTTATACGTACTAAAATGAGGAGGAGAAGGTCTAATCTGCCATTCGTGACTTTCAGAACGCGAAATTTGGATCATTAGCGGCCTCGGCGCGTCATCATCGCGCCATATACCGTCGTATCTTACATCGCAATCGCGGTATACCACCGAAAACCGCGCAAACCAAGACTTCTAATGGGCTCAATCCACAGCAGGAGCTTACCCTTAAGGAGTATATACACCGCTGCGACGAGATTGGTGTATCTGCCTTAATTAGGCAGATTCGGAGTGCTGCAGAGAGCATTCTTATACGTGATGCCAAGCCTGGTTCTGACTATATACCACGGCCAATTGGACGTGACTGGGTTACGCGCTGGCTAGCACGTAATCCTAAGTGTAAAATGGTAAAGCAGAAGGCACGAGAGTCTATACGTATTACAGCAGAGGACGTGGTAGAGATGAAGGGCTTCTTTATGAAGTTCAAGCAGTTCTATACGTCCTATGGTATACAGGACCATGACGTATATAATATGGATGAGACTGGCTTCCGAATCGGTGTTAGAGGTTCACAGAAGGTGATTACTATGAAGAAGTACCCAGTCGCCCTCGGTACTGAAACAAATCGCGACTATATGACGTCTATCGAATGCATTTCAGCAGATGGATATGTGCTGCCCCCTTTACTTATTATGAAGGGGGTTGTAGTACAGGAGAAATGGATAAGCAGAGAGATAGGCCTACCAGGTGACTATGAAGTATCCTGCTCGGAATCTAGCTATATGAACGACCAGCTAGCCCTATCGTGGATTTAACACTTCGATAAACACACAAAGTCTCGTACACTTGTCACCTATCGACTCATCATATTAGATGGAGCAGTATCCGATTTAACCATCGAACTCATAGAGTATTGCGACAAGAATCAAATACTCCTCTTTGGACTACCTCTTAATAGTAGTCACGCGCTACAGCCACTTGATGTCAACTGTGTTCAGACGTATAAACAACATCATATAATGGGTGTTGAGATGGCTGTACGCGAAGGCCGCTTAGACTTTAATAAGGTTGAATTTCTCCATGGAATCCACTCATGGAGAGTCGCCACATTCAAGCCAGGTACGATTAGGAACGCCTTCAAGAAGACTAGGTTGATTCCTTTCAATCCTAATGTTGTATTAGATCAGATACGTGCTAAAATAGACGTCAAGGCACCTATATCTCATCGCCAGTTACTCCAGAAAATGGATGAACTACAGCAGGAGGGCAAGTTTACTGAAGCCAATCATAAACTATGGAGTAAACTATACAAATCAACACACGCACTCTCTATTAAGTATGAACTCTGTCGCAATGAACTACGCGATAATCAACAAGCAGCCGTCAATCGTGCTAGACGTAACCCTCCTACAAAAGGGTGGGTATTGGCAAATATGGTCCCTTTAACGTGAGAGACTCTAGGGTTACTATTACAAAGAAGCGTGCGAGTACTATTAAGAGAGATGCACAGAGGGCGGCTAGGGAGGCTCAAAAACAGGCCACAGAAGTGCCTACTGCTGAGGAATGTGACTAGAACACGAGTACTCAATTCCCAGATGACTGCGAAGAAGTTGACGAGTAATAAATATATGGTATTAGCTATATAGACGTCGCTATCTTCATTTTACAGATACATGGTACCGTTGAAGTGTATACGTACAGTTCAAGTCGGGAGCACTTCGGAGGTTACAACTCCGAAGTGCGTGGGACGGGTACGGCCTTAGTAGCTAGAACCTACTTCTTAGAATAGGTAGCCTAGATACTAGGAGCCTCTTATTACCTAAGAACTATTAGTAGCTAACATAAGTAGTTAACGTCTCTCCCTATGTCGCGAGAAACCCTGCGTGCCGAGATGCCTTCAACACTTTCAATCACAACAAATTGTTCTGGGGTCTGAGAACTTTCAATCTCTCGGGATATGGACTCCATATCTTGTACTGCACTTCCACTCAATCTTGAGCGTTCCGATTGTCTGTGTGGCTTGATATATAAAAATACAATAAACCGCTTGATTCAAGTGCTGCACCATTCGATCGATTTATCACGCTTTAAGCTCTGCACTCCGTTTAAAAATATACCATGTCGTAGCTGAATAGATGGAGGCCGTATCCCGAGGTTTTTAAGCAGACAATAGCGTCTTGTGTCGAGATACAGCAGCTTTTGGACTCAGTGTCCAGCAGCGCCAAGAACTCGTCGACAATGGCCATGTATCAAAAGCCAGAAGAGTGCTAGATGTGGCTGAAGTCTGGTTGACCAAGACGTGCTAGCTATAGCTTAAGCATCTTTTAAAACCCGAGCGCCTCACAAGGCCTGACTTGACCCTAGCGGCCCCTACCCCAAAGATCTGTACCGCCCCACTACGGAGCACCAGCGGTCGCTTGTCCTTATCTAGGGAACACAAGAAAGCGGCCATATCGACCCCGTACAAGCTTAACCTGTCTAGGGACACTCGAAGTCAGTGGTCCACAGTACACACCACCATGTGCTATTTGCACGTGAGGGGATATTTGCAGCTTTATGCGATACACAGCTCGCAATCTATGGCCTTAGCCCATCGCCTGTCTGCCAGGAGTCCTTCCCTGCGTGGCGAGAAACCCAATGTGGCAAGAAGCCCTTGACGTGTTTACACATAACCAAATTGATCCACAGTAAAGCTCGAGCGAAGCTTAATTCTTAGAATCGAATGAATATTCCTTATGATTAATTTTATGTCTATTTAATTCCATGTGACTTGATTTTAGTTTCTATATGGACTTGTCAGCCTTAGCGGTCAGATTGCAGAACCACACCTTTCCGGATCCAGTACCAATGCCAACCCTGTTTCCATGCACTAATGAACACCATCTTCGATACTCTGATGGGACCCAAAGAACATTTTTCCCACTGCAAGTGATCCATATTCCTCCTGGTTCAACACCTATATCGCAGAAATCAGGGTGTTGGGGATCTGTAATAGTAATTGGTTGGGAATTTGGTGGAGAGATGATAGCAATCTTGCCAATATCAGTATACAGATGCGAGCCGGTAGAGTCGAATGAGAGGTTCTGAATGCATGTTCCGACGGTGAGCGTCTGCACACACGCTCCGCTGCTCGCATCCCAGATCTTGACCGTGTTGTCGAATGACGCTGATGCCAGCCGCGTCGAGTCGTGCGAGAACACCACGGACTTGACATAACCGCTATGGCCCTCGAGCGTCTGCATACACGCGCTCCAGCTACTGCTTATTACTGGCTTAACGGTGATCCAGTCGGGCTCTTCATGCTGGAACTGCCTCCGGACTTTGCTATTTAATGGACTGAACAGTAATGCAGAAACATAAGCCTGGAGTGGGCTGGTTTCAATTGCACTTTTGTGATACAGAAAGAATCGGTGTGCATCATATAGGAACTCGGTAAATGATGTTGGCTCATGCTTGTTCTGGTTCTGTTAGCGTGATATGTCTTAATGATTGTTTCCAAATTCGGTACCTGTATTAGAAGATGCAAATTAGTCATCGAGACCACACCTTTTGGTATGCTTGCACACAAGCTCAGAGCCTCCAGCCAGTATAAGAACTTGCTTCGGAAGAAGATATCAACAATGCCACCATGTTGAAGAGCCTCATGACTCATAGAAGAAAGCAGGTTCGAGTCACGCAGATGGTCAATCCAGTAAACGCAGGAGTAGCGTGCAGCTGCTAGTGGATCAGGATCTGGTTGTTGAGCCTCCCCAACTAGACACCCGAACGCTTTCAGTTTATATATATCGCGACGAAGAGTCCTAGACAGGATCTCAAGTGACCTTGTAAAGACGCCGTGGTGAGCGACTCCTGTGCCAGAAGGGAATACCTTATTAGCGGCCTTGGCGAGGAGAAAATCCTTGGCGGACTGATGCACAAAGTAGATGGTACGGTCTCGTAGCGTGAGAAACGAGCCACAGAGGCTGACAAGCTCGCTTAACGACTCTGCATCTTCGACGAGGCCATCCAGCGGCTCCCTAAGAGCCCCGAGCTCGGCTAGTTTAAGCGGACGATACGCCAGTGAAGACACTCCTAGAATCTGCTTGCAAACTTCAGCGTCGTCGGATTCACTGACCTGCCGCATCATTCGCTCGTATAGAGAATCAAGTCCGGCCGGAATAGATTCAAGCTTCCTCCGCACATGTCGTTTCGATGTTCCTGCGAGGTCTAGGCACACTAGCGCTACCCAGAGGAAGGTGTCGTTTGCATTTAACTCCAGGTGT